CCCCACTGACGTGGCCGCCGCCGCCGCCACCGCCACCGCATGCGAGGCGCCGGCTGCCCACGTTAGTGTAGCCTCGGCGCCGCTCGGGCACGCGCCAGCATCAACACTCTGGCCGCCGCCTGTTCGACGCCCGGTCAGCGCCGGCGGCGCCTGCTCCCCGTCCTCAGCTGCTCGATCTCATACCACGGCCGCCTTGCCGCCCCTGACCGCCGCCTCAGGTGCGCCTCGTGGTGACGGACAGCGTCACGTTCCACTTCAGGCAGGACTGGCCCGATGCGGGGCTGCGCAGCCGGCTGCTGGCCGGGCTGGCGCAGGACGCGATCGCACTGGCAGAGGGCAGGGGCCTGGCAGTGGTGTTCATGAACCAGGTGGGCCGGTGCGGCCGGCACGTAGGGGGGGGTGCCCGTGATTGCGGGCTGGGTCTGTGCGGACCGCAGCGGCAGGGGCCCGCCTGGTGCTGTGACCAACCGTACCCCAACCACCACAGGCGCAAAGCAGCGTCGTTTGCGATGGGTATCTGCGCATGGCATCTCGAGGTTTAATGTGACAGGGCTAGCGAAGACCGGCACCGCCGTCTCCGCCCTGCTGCTGGCCGGGCGCGCCTGCAGCCCTGCGCTGTTCACTCTGCACCCTCAAGCTCCAGCCGGATGCTGGCTGGTCAGGTTCTGGCCCACGCCACGCGCCCCCCCTGGCGCCACTAGTCACTACGCCACCCTCTCGCCCCCCATCGCCGCCCAAACACGCATTCAGGTGACCACCAAGGTGATGGATGAGGAGTCCGGCGGCGGCGTGTTGGTGCCTGCGTTGGGCGAGAGCTGGGGCCAGGCGAGCAGCACGCGCGTGGTGCTGTTTTGGGAGGGGGCGCAGCGCTACGCGCACCTGCTGAAGGCGTCCATGGTACCAGAGGGCGGCGCGGCGGGGCCGGCATCGGCGGCAGCGGCGGCGGCGGAGCGGCGGCAGGGGGGCCAGCGACAGCGGGCGCCGCAGCAGGGCAGGGGGCCACACGGCATCAAGGCGGTCTCGTTTGATATCACAGCCGAGGGTGTACGCAGCGCAGCAATGACTGGGGCCGCAGCAACGGCCCCAGCCGGACAGCTGGGAGGCGAAAGGGCGTTTGACGGCAGTGGTGACGCAGGGCGAGCGTGGCAGGGGCCCTTGCACGGGCAGCAGCAGTAGCAGCGGCAGCCAGCAGGAGAGACGAACGCAGCTAGGGCAGTGCGTTGTATTGGTGTATACGTAGATTGGAACCTGTTCAATTCCTACCAATTTCAACCTTACTCATTGTGCGACGGTGCACCTTCAAATGAGGCGTGCATCTGCCCGCCGCTTTGCACCACAGAGCAGGCCTTTGCCGGTTTGTTTTGGATGAAGCAGGAGAGTTTTCACGGTCCGGCGCTAGCTTGATGCATTTGTGCTGCGGCTGATTTTGCTTGTGTATTCACACCATCATGGACCTGACGTCACACATGCATCACACCCGGCCACGCAACACCACCAATCCGGGCGGCGCGGTATGGTTGGTTGGTTCCGCTCCCCGCATCTTGCCTCAACTCTTGACTGTTTTATATTGTCAGCAACCAGCAGAGCTGTTGATTTACAATTGGAATGGGTCAAAAGTGTCACCAGACCCAATTTTCACAGTAGAGTGCATGAGTCCTCTGTAAGGGTTGCCTGGTCGAGCTGCCTCAGATCCTGCACCCACCTCCTTTACCGCCGCCCGTGTCACCTGCGTTATGCAAGTTTTTGCTTGCTGGTCTTCCCGAATGGCAGGGTGCCTGGGATGGAGTGGCGGAACTGGCAGTGGGCCGTAAGCGAAGGTGGTTGAAGCGGTTGACTGAGACAGCTGCCCTCGTGCACGCTCTTGCCGCTTGCATGCAGTGTACTTGACTTGGATGCCGGCAACTACCAAACATACGAAGATCGCACGCCACCTGCGATCGTACGCACGCTTGCTTGCCAGGCGTGACACACCCGATTTCCGCCACAAACATGCAGTCCCTGCGACAGGCACCTGCCGGTGCATGACTGTATCCTTAACACTGCTGCAGCTTGAATTCTTGGATCACATTCCATTACTTGAAGTTCTTCGTGTGCTCGTTTGCTGCACATCTATCGGCAGCAACCGCCGACAGGGTCATGGCAGCCTGAAAGTCACAAGAGACCTTCGCCACTCGCGCTAGTCCTCATATGCAGTTTCCTTCGTTGCATTTCCCAGTTGACTGTGCACTTTTGAAAAGCATCACCCAATCTGGCTTTTTCTCTTAGGTCAACAAAGTCCAGATCCCCAGATCCCCATGTCATCTGCTGTCGCATGTATCCAGCGCTGAGAAGATGAAGACGATCTTGATAGTGACTAGTGGTTCTCGTGGCGATGTTCAGCCGTATGTGGCCTTGGCCATTGAGCTCAAGGCGAGGGGAGCGAGGGTGGTGGTCGCAACGGAGAAGCGTATGGAGGACTTTGTCAAGTCTTTCGCTGGTCTCGAGTGAGTGAAAAACAGTGTAGCCAACTCCGCTGCACCGCTTATTGCACAGTCTTGACGAGCGGCGACTGTCGTCAGCAGAGCGCGCTGCTTCACGGCGCTTGGCTGATTCAGCTGACGCCTGCTACTTTGCATGCATATGTAGGTACGCCGAAATTGCGGGCGATCCCTTTGGCCTGCTGCATGAGCCGGGAAGCCAGGTGCGGCACACGGCACATACGCCATGTGCAAGACAGCCTGTCCGCGACTCCATCCGTCACACGCGCGCGCGACACGCTTGTGCGGATGTGCGCACATGCATGCGCACGCATCCACCGAGGCCGCGCACGCATGCACACAGGCTGAATGCATGAGCACACACATGCATGCACATGCATGCAGGAGCTTTTGGCAGAGGGAAAGATTATGAAGGTCATGATGGAGGCCGAGAAGTTCAACAAGCCCTTTGCAGAGGACGTCCTCAGAACAATCGCCACAGCCTGCCAGGGCGCCGACGCCATCGTCACCGCGCCGCTGACGCAAACGGCGACGATGTGCGTCGCGGAGCAGCTGGGAGTGCCTTGGGTG